AGAAACATTGTTAGAGGCTAATTTAGTACACCTTACAAAACACATCACAGGACAAGGTATGATGGCTGCTGTTTGATCAGCATGGATATAAATAGCTCAAGAATGCCAACTTTTACAACAGTCACTCCTCACAATAATTATTTCTCAAGGATAGCAGTACCTGGAGGGGTGGATTTCATTTCTCATTTTAACAGTTGTCCTAAAAATACTGACTGAATTAACAACAGCAGGAGGTTAGGGCTGGAAGATTACACTAAGTAGTCAACACCTTGAAATAAAATGACAACCCATGAGCTTAGCATATAACCTCTTCCACTGCTCTTCTGTGACACAGAAACACCACAGTTTACCACGGAAAAAGCAACGAGTGACCTGCAAGGCTTCTTGGTATGATTTTCTACTCAGGGGTCACCAGAAAGGATGAATGAGGCTGCATTTGGCCCATGGGCTGCTAGTTTCATATCCCTATCCAATACTGTATTGTGTTATGTCAAGAAAAAATGTAGGTACAATATATGGTTTTGTGTTATGTGATTTGATTTCAAACAAGAATATGTATGATTGTGTATTTTTTTTCATTGGCGCTACAGCCCTCATTTTGGCCTAGGCCTACCTGCATGAAACTCTATGTTTCACTTCAGTTATATTAGATCTTATATATGCGGTAGGACTCCTTCGGTGGGTGATCAGCTCATCGTAAGGCCTCTACCTGTACCCAAACACAGAAAAATGCACACAAACATCCATGCCCTTAGTGGGATTCGAACCCACGATCCCAGCTTCCGAGCGAGCGAAGACAGTACATGCCTTAGACCGCTCGGCTACCGTGACCGGCCTGTGTATTGTTTACTGTTACCATTACTTTTACTACCTATACAGTATAAGAGGTTTATAGAGCTGGTGGGTTAGTCTTTCATACAATGATAGTTACTCATTTGATCAAGAAATTTTCAGCCTTTTATGGATGAAACATTAAGTTCATGTTATAAGAGTACAACATTTGACCTATCATGATGCAGAAGAAGCCAGTCCACAACTCTGCATCCTTCCATCCATGCTAAGTCTTCCATGTCTAACAATAATACCTATACTTTCTCTTCAAAACACATTTTTTCCGATATGCTACTACGTAACGAAATATAAGAAAATATTTGTGGACAGCTTGAGCACATGAAGTATAATTGTATATGCAATGTAACAGAACTGACATTGACGTTCATTTGCCCATTCCACTGATGAAGAAAATATATAATCATGTACCCTATCTAGATACAAGTCCAACTGTCAAATTGAGTTTCATTGAAAATTCAATGCAAGTTGTTGTGTTTAAATAAATATTTAATACCCTCCAGGGGTATGTGAAGCCTCACAAGGAGGTTCATGACTAACACAGACTGGAAGGACCTCAACATCTTGACAAATTTTCTTGTAGAGTTTGTTTTGTGTATGGGGTAAATGTGTTTGTTAAAACTCTGTAAAAAAAAACGTGTTTGTATCCTGCCACATTTTTAATACACAGTGACTTATAGCTTGAGATAGGAATTAAGTCACCACTAAAAGTGACTACCTTAAGTCCCATTCAGAGACCCCTGCTATGTTGAAATAGCATAACTGAAAAATATGGTAATATATTTGTGCCCCAAATTGGGTTCAAATATGAAACCTCAGTATTCAAGCATCCCAAGACAGTATGTGGCTTAGCAGGACTTCTGTGGTCATCTAAAAATGTTATTAAAATTCTATAATGATGATCTGAGTGATGTGATACATAGTCCCTTTGTACCCCTTCCTCAAGTGGATCTAATTGAGGATGAAGATAGATGAGTACGGAGCACTGGTGGAATATTAAATGATGGGCAAAAACTGATATAAAGTGTACTGTTTGTTCATCTGTTATTTTTTACTGCAGCCCTTGATGATTACTTCTACTGTCTACTCCACACTATATACGAGGGCTACTCGGAAAGTAGCCTCCATTTCGTTTATTTTAGGCAAATAATATAGGAGCGGGGGAGAGCTGCGCATATGAGGTTGCGTCACATGACTCATTGCCTTGTAAACCATCATATAACTGGTCAAGTAGTGTTTGTTCTTGTCTCTACAGAGTGAGTTATAGTGTGTCCTGTGACTGATAAACCCGCAAGCTGGGAAATTAAGTGTTGCTATCCGATTTCTTCACACTAAAAATATGAATGCTGTGGAAATCTATGGTGAATTACGGGCGGCTTAGGGCCAAAATATAATGAGTGAAGGAACTGTAAGCCAATGGTGTAGAATGTTCAAATATAGGCGGGCAAATGTTCATAGTGAAGAGCGCAGTGGTCGGTCATCTGTAATGAGTGATGATATTATATCACGACGAAATCTGCGAAAGACGGCGCTTCACAATTGCAGAACTTTCATGTGAATTTCCATAAATTTCACGCAATGTTCTCTACGACATTATCGCAGTCAGGTTAGGGTATCATAACTTTTGAGAAAGAAGAGTTTCAAAAATGCTCACGAGTGCGCGCAAAACGAAGAGAATGGCTTCGGGTATGACTTTTTTCGGGCGATACCACGAAGGTGGCGATTGTTCTCTCGATCGCATCTTACGAGTAACAGGCATGAAACCTGGGTTTTATTTGTGATTGTTGAAACTAGCTCTCAAAGTAGTGGATGCACACACATTCACCAAACAAGCCCCCAAAATTTAAACAAATGTTGTCCTCCAGAATACGACATGTGCTTTCTAAGACAGGAAAAAAGTGTTGATGGTGCAATTTATGCAACAAGGGACCACAAGAACGTCAGCAGTGTATTTCTAAACAGAAAAAAAAATGCACAGTCATTTAGGAAAAACATGTGGAATGATGCCACACGGTGTAGTGCTCCTCCATGTAAATGCGCGTCAGCATATAGCTGCTAGCACGCTAGCATTGCTGAAGAATTTCAACTGGGAGTTGTTTCACCAATCTCCTTAGAGCTATGGTCTCACTCCGAGCAACTACCACCTGTTTACCTGCCTGCAGAACTGCCTACGATCACAGCCCTTCAACAATAATGAGCTGACAGAGAGTGTCAAAGTGGTTGAGTTCACGGGCGGCAGACGTCTTTGACATAGAAATGCAAAAACTTATTCCCCGATACAAGTGCCTCAATTCCAGCGGTGAGTAGGTTGAGAGGTAGTTTAAATATGCTCGTAGTTTTTGTACATAATAAACCTTTTTTCTCATTGTTTGTTTCAAAAACAGCTCACTGGAGATTACTTTCCGAATAGCTTTCGTAAATCAAACAACCGAGTGGATTAATTTCATACCACCTCAAACTTAAGCCAAATTTTGCTGTATCTTTTTATTGTTAACTCCAGAGCATTATGCAATGACAACCTCTTCAGTACATTGTTCAATATAACTATCAGCCTTTGAGAACAAAATCAGCTGGTTAATACGTATATTCTCCATGTTTTATGGACCTGGAAGATTCATTATTATGTTCAATACGTCCTGAAGCTGGACAGTATCTGATGCTTCTGAATCCAGTCTACATCCCTATAACCCACTCCTTCAATCTCCTAAATTGATGCCATTTGTGACATTTCTAATCAACCAGTTTTCTACGGTAACGGTAACTGCATTTAACATCCATATCTGATGGTTAGCTCCTCTACCAAAAGCTTGAGGACATATCATGCTGTGATAGATATATAGCGGAAAATTTTAATGAAAGCCCAGGCGTATAAACCATTGGCAAGTAATCCCTGCTTGCACGAGGGCCCATTCTAATCTGCCTGATATGTCAGAAACAAAAACAATATAAATCGCATTTTGTTGCATAAATTAAGACGAAAATACGAGTATTGCAATTAATATTATGAATTATATTTTAACTTGTTGGATAATGGGATGTTAATGAGAAACTCGGCAGTAATTCTTTACCATTCATTTTTGTACCCCTTGATTTTACAAATATTAATACTTATTTCTTCTTGAATGCAATTAATCAGTGAGCCAGTTCAGACATCCAGCTAACTACTGATTTATACTGTTACAGAATCATTCCACCTAATTCTGAAGGCGTAAGTGCTATTCAGCAATGCAGGTTTACAGCTTTCATTATTCGAGTCATTTCTAAATTATACCTAAGGAAATCAGTATCTACACACACTATTTTAACTCATATTTCTACACCAATATATTTATTCAGATGTAAAATTATTACTAACAACTTAGTGCCTCCAAGAATATTTCGGTTTCATGTTGTCTAACTTTCAGTTCTAACTGGTTTCAAGGCTTTAAGAATATATTAATAAAAAAAAACAACGCAAATTCCCTGCTACATACTCAATATTAAAACTAGAAACGAACTCATGTTCATCTTCTGTATTCAAATTCCTGACAGTAATACTGTGATCGGAGGGCAAGCGGTAGCGTAGTTGGTTGAGAAGCTATGCTACAAGCCGGAAGGTCGCGGGTTCAAGTCCCGATGGGGTCATTGGATTTTGTTTTTTCAATTCACCTAATCCTTCCAGCCGCACTATGGCCCCGGGGTCGACTTAGCCCCTAATATAAATGAGTACCAGGAATTAATTAATTAATTTTCCTGGGGAGCAAAGCGCGGTCGGCGCGTAAGGCTGACAACCTTACCGCCATCTTTGAGCTGACTGTCTAGATAATGTGGGACCCTCAACGTCTCACAACCCTATGGGCCTTCACGGCCTGGTACAGGGAAAGCTTTACTTTTTTAATGCTGTGACCGACTGTGACAGCCCCAACTAGAACTCAAAATGCTATTTACTTGTAGTTTACAACAACAACAACAACAACAACACAACTCAGAGACTTGTTTCCTCCACCATTATGGCAATTGAGACTGTAATGAATTGTTTACAATTTCTTTCACCATCCATCATGCAGTACCTTGATATGGTCAACGAGATCCTGAACACGAAACTTAGAAAAGCATCAGCTCTGAACATCACGCAGACCATAAGATGCTACTAATGTCGGAGATGGACTCACCTTACTGGAAGTTGCGGTGTTGACTGAAGTCGCCGATGCTGGTTCACTTGCTAACAACTGTTGCAACTGGCTGGGGGCCTGTTTTGTACCACTGCCCCCCGAACCGCTACTACTACTAGTGGCTGTAGCGGCAGCGGTGGTGGTGGTGGATGGAGAAGATGTTGCAGGATATGGGGGCGGTGGTGCTGTTGGCGTCTGTTGTTGGGGCTGTGGAGGTGGTGCATAGTGGATACATGATGAGCCTAGTGGTGACGCATCATCTGAACTGCCGGTGCTACCTGATCCTGACGTACTGGTTGACGCTGTGACAGCTGCCTGTGCGGAATTGTTGGTGTGGTGATTCTCTGTGTGGCGCCGTAACGACCTTGCATCACAGTACGATTTTCCACAGCCTTCTGCCTTACACTCATACGGTTTCTTGTTGCGATGTGTCAACATGTGACCATTTCTATAACAGAAGTTATAAATCTCTGTCAAACTTATTTATGCCTCAAAGATACCGTCTGACAAGTAGTAAGTAAGATTCAACTGTTTATCACCAATTGTGGAGTAGTGGTCTCTATGATTGTAGTTGAAGTAGTAGTAAAGTTGTCCATAGCCGGTCACGGTAGCCGAGCGGTCTAAGGCATGAGTTGTCTTCGCTCGCTTGGAAACCGGGATCGTGGGTTCGAATCCCACTCAGGGCATGGATGTTTAGTTTGTGTGTGTGCGTTTTTCTGTGTTTGTGTACAGGTAGAGGCCTTACGAAGAGCTGATTGCCCGCCCAAGGAGTTCTACCGAATGTGTAGGATCTAGAAAAACCGAAGTGAACGGAGAAGTTCATGGAGGTAGGCCTAGGCCCACAGGGGCTGTAGTGCCAAGAAAAAAAAAGAAGTTGTCCATATGCTTAATTAAGCACCAAGCCATGAAGACGTACTGGGAGTGGAGGTATAGCTACAAAATATTTGATCTCAGAATTAGATGGAGGCGAGTGCTCAGTTTCACGTTCCTGCCGCTTTGCCCCCAGGGAAATAATCTCCCATTTACCCATTTGACAGAGTATTGGGTGGGCTCCAGAGCCGGCCTAGACTGTATGGAGAGAAGAAAAATCTTACCCCTGCTGAGAATCAAACCCCAGCCCATCGCTACATCAACTGAGCCATCGCGGCTCTAGTAGCAATAGATCATAAAGTATTTAAAGACACACTACCAAATATAAGGGGGCATGCGGTAGCGTAGTTGGCTGAGGCACTATGCTACAAGACGGAATGTCGTGGGTTCGAGTCCCAATGAGGTGGATTTTTCAATTGACCTAATCATTTCAGCCGCATTATGGCCCTGGGGTCGATTTAGTCTATAACAGAAATGGGTACCATGGATCTTCCTGGGGGTTAAAGGGAGTCCGGCGCGTAAGGCTGACAACCTCACCGCCATCTGTGAGCCGATTGTCCAGAAAATGTGGGAACCTCAACGTCTCACAACCCCACGGACTTTCATGGCCTGTTACAGGGATAGCTTTACATTTTTTATATCAAATACAAAGTTCATTTACTACGTAATACCGGCCAATGTCTGGATTTGGTTCAAGATACGAAAACAGTATTCTTACACATGGACCTACAAACGAATATGGTATATTCTGATGCCTCTGTGATATCAAGAGGGTTGGCATAACGGTAAGTTTCAGACTCATATTCCGGAGGTACTCGGTATGAATCCTGACCGGGACATAGGCTGTTCTGAAGGTCTCCGTGGATTTTCTCAGTCCCTTCCAGCAAATGATGGACAGTACCTCAACTACACCATGACAAATTACATCCAAAATCTTTTCCAATTCTTCCGTAATCCTATCATTTTACACTGTATAGTCTATCTACTGGCAGCGTCGTGAAATAATCTTTAAAAAAGAACATGTGACGAGATTGAAATTCATTTATAACCCTGACACTCTTAACAGTATGTTCCAGCATACTAAAGACAGTACTGAATATGTTCAGTGGGATATATCATAAAGAATAAAACAGATTGCGCCTTCATTCATATCATGGAAGCAATATATGGTGAGAAACGGTAAAGCAGACCGTTTCTCACGGTGTTGTCGCTTGCAGATTTCTTAAACTTTTTCTTCAACCCTGAAGATGGGGGCGATACGTTCCTCCGAAACGTCAGTTAACACCACATATACACGGTGCCAAATCCCAGAAGACTGCTTTCTTCATAGTCACCGCCGTGAAAGCCTCAAATCTTACTTCGTGGTTTTAGTCCGCAAGCGAACTATACCGACAGAGCGACCGCCACTTGTGGGAGAAGTTAGTGTCAACTTTAGCGGATAGAGGGTGTCGCGTGGTCAGCGCAATGAATCCCCACGGCTGTTAGTATCGGTTTTCTAGACCGGAGCCGTTATATCCTTGAAATAGCTCCTCAATTATCCTCACGAGGCTGAGTGGTCCCCGTTCCAGATCCACTACTTCTCAGAAAATCTGGTAGCGCTGGGAATCGAACCCGGACCTCTGGATTTGTAGGCAGGAGCTCTGACCACTAGACTACAGAGGTGGTCATTTGAACAGAGGAACGAAAATAACTTCACCACACACACATAATGCGACAAGTTCAATTATCTTTTTCTTTATTCATACTTCCTACTTTTTATTCACCTTTCATATATGAGGCTTTACTCCCAACCTATTTCTTCCATGATTCTTCCATTGCTTTCCCTTTTCTGAATAGCCGCTTTCCAAAAGATTTCACCACTAACATTCTAAACTGTTTCTTTGTTTGCCCTATCGGAAATAAGTTGTCCCTCTGTTTAACTACTTAAGTACCACGCCATGAAGACGTATGATGGAAGAGGAGGTATAGCTCCACCGTTCTTGATATCGACACCAGATGGAGGTGAGTGGTCAGCTTCATGCCTCGGAGAAAGTGTCTCAGGCACCCACTAGATAGGGGGCAGTGTGGGATCTATAAACGGAGTAGACGCGCTGTGGAAAAGAGAAAACTCTCTCATCTCTGCGAGGAAAAGAACTCCAGTATCCAGCCTGCAGCTCATCGCTATACCTACTGAGCTATGCCCTATACGAGGTGGATGCAAATTAAAGTATTATATGTTTAGTTAACTACGAACTTCAAGCTTATGGATAGAAGAGTAACGTGATACCATCTGAAGGTGATGCGACTTACAGGTGATCCTGCCGTTTGAACGCCTTCCCGCACATGCTGCATACGTATTTCCGTTCGTCGCTGTGAGTCAGCTTGTGCTTGGCGAGTGCAGAAGCGTTTCCGAACACCTTCCCACACACCTGCAACACAAACACAGCCAACCTTTCAACACAAGGATCTGTCTCTCCATCCGAATCCAAGTACACAGCTAACGTCGCCGTCCTTCGCCACGTGTTTCCTTAAAATAAAGTGTAGTATAGTAATTAGAGTTCTTATTTCCCATATCATACAACTTTAATAAACTCTTACATAATTCCTGAAATGAGATAATACTGGACGAATAGTCCACATCCATTTAAAACCCTCATGAATATAAATAACAACTGAACATAACCTCTTAATTAACACATGAAAATTAATGGGCGGAAAAAACAAATCATCTTTGACAGCCTCTACCCCAGAGATTACTCGATTTACAGGTATAAAAACATTATTTAAAGCTTATATGTTTGATTTTTCATTAATTTGTTAGACGTATATCATTCAGAGAAATATATGCAGTATTGTTTACATGACCTGTAATTTGATTTCCGGTAGTTGAATTCTCGGAACTCAGGGTTAGAATTTAAGAGCACAGAGGTCTCTCGATTTATGACGTTATCGATTAACGATATTTCGATACAAGATCTGCCTCCCATAGGGTCCAGTTGCTTCTGTTAACAATATGTTAATGGCAGTATCGTCACAAATTTTGGCCAATTGGAGCGCTCGTAAATAGACCTAGCATGCCTCAGCCAATCAGCGACCCCCTTTTATGAGCGTTTGAAGCTCAGCTGGCTTGTTTTTCAGTGTTTAATGTGCGTCGCTTGTGGAAACAGCTCTCTTCAATGCTCAGTCTTTTTTGTAGCTTGGAAGATATACAAGACCAATAACAATAGCCCCTAAAATAAACGTGAAGAAATATAAGAAAGTGATAAAAACAATTTGAGTGTAAGTTACGAAGATTATTACTGAAAAGCATGAAAAATGTGCAAAAGCGGGTCTTTTGCTTAGCGTCTAGAGCCCTTCCCAATCCACCATATCCACGATTATGCACATTTCTCTGCTTATTTATTCGCTATTTATCATATTTCTATTAATCTCGGTGAAGGGTCTTCTGCTTTGCTCGGAACTCAAATGTACTGGCCTCTTGTTGAGGCTAAACTGACTGCTCTCTTGTCGGATACGAACTAACTGGTCTGTTGTCGAAGTTGGACTGTTATGTCCTGCACGCGGACTGAATAGGGAACACCTTGTCGAAAGGTTTAGTTCCGTCCACTGCTATGCAAACGAATCTCTTGTTGCTGCGGGAATTCAACAATTCTGCCCCTGTTGGGTAGGCAGTTTCCCAGGTAGCATGCGTTCTCACTGTCAATTGCGCAGCGATGGATGTCCTACAGTCCGGCTTTCAGGCAGCGCGTCACAATATTAACCCTTCACTATGCTCTTATAACGTATATTTATCAAAACTGAGCGTTTAAATGTTAGAAACTATACACTTCTTGACTTTAGCCATTAGCCACTGTCCTGTTTTTACTCATACGTTTCGGATAGTGGACTCTACCTCCGTCCTCAGGTAAACTGACTGATCTGTTGTTCTCAATCGACAGAGCTAGTCTATATCTCCAGACTAGCTGCGTATTTCTGTAAAACTTAAAATACAAAAACTCCTACAACAGAAAATTTATAAAACAATATGACTATCAACAGCAGATTACGGACACTAAAAGCAGATAGCGTATAACCGATAATTCTTGCCAATTATTTGTTTATTTACATGCTTACCCAACAGCCCATAACAATAATAATTCAAATATTCTTATTTTTTTACGTGCTAGCTTAACAGTCTAAAGGTCAATTAAAATTTGAGCAAAGAAAAAGAAACAAAATACAAAAACATAGCAAATTATATAATTTTAATAACAATAATATTGATAACAATAATAATAATAATAGTCATTGGCCTACTTCGCTTGCTTAAGAATGAAGTAGGTTTATGAAACCACCCTGCTGTCTGCGTAATTGTCTTTATACGTCTTACCCGGAAGATCCTGTTTTTTTTATTTACACCGTATGCGGGATAATAAAGCAAAAAAAAAATAACTCTTCCAATAAATGAGACAGTAGGAAACACATGAACCCCTCTTAGCACACATTCTGAGGGAAACTTGAACGTACGACACAATTTCGATGTCAACAATTATTCTCAAGGCTTCATATCTACTTAAATGAGTTGTAAGTGATGACAAATATTTCATGATTACTGATGATTATAATAAGTATGAAATTAATTGATGATGAAATAATGTTAGCAATATAGGTGAGGCCGTGTGAATATACCCGTATAATCAGTAACAACATTTTATCGAAATGGGAACAATAATAATTGAAACGGTAATATAATACTGAAACAAATAATGTATGGTATTTATGGATAGTTTTGTAGAGAGATCCCAACGTTAGGTAGGAACCTGCTGTTTGTATCTTCAGGGAGCTGAAGACGAAGAGAGCAGGTTCCTCCCAATCTTTCGTATCGCATCCGACAAGATCGTAAGCTTAAGGCAAATAGTAAGGAACATACAAATACATAGGTCAGAATGGATCTTAGAGAGATAGGATGGGATGGTACGGATTGGATAAATCTGGCTCAGGATAGGGACTAGTGGAGGGCTCTTGTGAACACGGTAATGAAATTTCGGGTTCCATAAAATGCTTGGAAATTCTTGAGTAGCTGCAGAATTGGCTGGTCCTCAAGAAGGGCTCAGTTCAATGAGTAAGTAAGTAAGTAAGTAAATAAGAAGATACCTTAAGTTTAAGCGTCAAGCTCCTATATATCTCTCAGAAAGAAAGATGGAAGTCTCGAACACACAGCACCTACTGTGAATTAGAGGAGGGAGGGTGGCCAATCTGCAGTCCATAAGTTTGTTTTCAGAGTCAATTCAGCCAACAACGGTAATGACAGTAACAGAAAAAGAGAACACTGTGGTGTTATCCGCAAGAGAACTATACTGACCGAGCGACCGCCGCTTGTCGGCAAAGTTAGTGCCAATTTCAGCGGATAGAGGGTGTTGCGTGGTCAGCGCAACGAATCCCCACGGCCGTTAATTTCGGCTTTCTATACCGCAGCGGCTAATTCCTTGAAATAGTTCCTCAATTATCCTCAACAGGATGAGTAGACCCCGTTTCAGACCCACTACTTCTCAGAAAAAAATTGGTAGCGCCGGGAATCGAACTCGGACCTCTGGGCCGGTAGCCAGGAACTCTGACCACTAGACCACAGAGGCGGTCCGACAATAAGAGAAACATTATAAATATCGGGTTCTTTTAACTTAGATAATAAAGATTATTAGTAATTATTTCTATTAGTTTTCACGGCGAAAGAGGGCTGGTGATAGAAAGTAATGAGGTCGAGTTCTTTTAGGTTATAATTTTTCTGAATCAGTTAATAATTTTATACGGCACCTTAGAGTGCCGAAGAAAACTGAGGAGAAAACAAAGAAGAGATATGAGACACAACGTCACATTAAAATTTATGACGGAGACTGATCATTAAACCGCAGAAACCAAACTGCATATGGCTACGGACATCAGCAGACTCGTTTCCGGAAGGTTGCCTACTGAACGTCACTTCTGTCACACTTCCTCTAATTTGTCGAAATTTCCTTTCACGTTTCCATTACGATTTACTATTACATGTTTCCATAGTGAACTTCATTGTCTTGTCTTCCACACCTACGTATAATTATCTGTATCTTTCCTTCCTCTTCACTTCGTACCTCCCCATGTTACCACCCCATAGCTTGAAATGTGTTCGCCCTCTTTTTGCAATGCTTCTCTGTCTGTTCATCCCTACAAGCTGTTGCCATGGGTACGGAGCATCTAAAGCCCAGGGCAGTTCGTAATTGAATCCTGTTGATTCTGATATTAAATTAAAGGTTGAGTAGGTTCGTCTCAACTGTTGTTACCATAACACGGTCTCCTCTCAAATCCCTGGTCGATGAAGAGGAAAAGCGGTACTTTTTTATTTCTACAACCCACCCCTTTCATCCCTTGTATGTAACAGACGAATGAGACTGTGTAATCCGAGTCAAAATGAAATCTAACAAGCCCCGAGGGGTTGGAAGCAGATGAGCACGAAGAAAGGCACATACAGTAAGAGGGGTTATGACTCATGGAAATAAATTCACTGTCCTCTCTAGATGCATAATGTTTTTGTATCACTTATACTATAGAGCAGTGAAGTTAAAGATAAGGCAGTATTTGTGCCATGAAGACGTATGACCATTATTAACCTCGGCATTATATGGAGGCTAGTAGTCTGCTTCACGTTCCGACCCTTTTAACCCGGGGGAAAACCTCCCGGAACCCATTGGACAGGAGGCTGGGTGAGCTCCAGATCTGGTCTAGGTTCCGTGGAGGGAAGAAAAATGTCTTACTCCTATCGGGAATCAAACCCACCCCGTAGCCCATCTCTTCACCGACTGAGCTATCCCGGTTCCCAGTCTTATAAGAAGTAATGAAATAACGAGATGTTAATACACAACTCCGTCGAGCAGACCATTAATAAGAAGGTAAAAATCCCAAAAATCCTTACTGAGGCTGGATAGAAAACCCCTACCGTAGCCCTGAGATGATGATGTAAAGGGAACCCAGTGCCTGAGGGTGTAATTGGGCCATTCTGTCACTGTGGGACATATATACAGAGACCTGGCCCACCGGACTGGGCGTTGGAGGCAAGGTTGGCGACCTTGTTGTGTAAAAGTACTATTGCGAATTCCAAAGAAGTGAAAACCGGATTTTCAAATATGGCAGGATCTTCTAAGGAAGGCTATGGCTCAAAAAGGGCCGATTTGCCAATGATGATGTAAACAACGCCCGTTGCTAGGCAATAGATTCATAGCACGCGCCAATGGACTAATTGGGAAGCAGTGTTCTCTACGTTGTTCGTATGACAGCTGCGTGACGCAAAAATAGAAATGCTGTAAGCGGTGTATTCTATGCGGTCCGTGCCGATGTGTTATAATCAGGACAAATATAAGTTTAGTTCGTTGTGAGACAGTCACCGGCCAGCAATAATGTGAACACGGAAGTTGAGGGGTCT